CCTCTCCTCTGTGAGGAGGGATCTTCTAACTCCCCTATTATTTTTTCACCTTTTAGCAGCTTCTTAATCCACAAGATTACTCTCCTGTCCTTTGTCTGTGCTATCATACTCTCTCTAACAGCATTTATTTAAAGGCTTCGCTGAAAATATATCGAAGTTTATTGATATTAGCTGTATCATGCTTCCTAATATACTTGATAACTTTCTTAAAGAGGTCTGGTAGGTTTGTGTGCTGGGACTCCTTTTACAAAAGTCACTTTATCTGTGCTTTAGAGAACTCCAGCATACATCAGGAAAAAATACCTGCTGAAAAGTCTCATGGGAGAAGCTGCCATGAAAAAAAGAAAAGAAGTGAAGAAAACCCATCAAAGGATGAATACTTCCAGTTCTATCATATGCAGTAAGCCTTTTGTACATGAAGGAGTGTGTCTTTTTTTTAATGTCAGGAATTCTCATTTGGGCTGAATTCATGAATGCAGACTTAGGCATTCTGATCTGTTTTAGCAGAGGACTTTAGAGCCCTAATGGCTCAATGGTTGGACTTGATGATCTTGAAGGTCCCTTCCAGCCTAAAGGATTCTATGATTGCTGTATCAAGCATTTCAGCACTCGTCTGTTTATCTGCCTGTGCTACAGGGACTTTGACTTTGAAAAACTGTTTCTGTGTTTTTAGACTATAACCTGGAAAAGGCAGGTGTAGATTCGTAGGCTTCACTAAATACGTGCCATTAAAGAGTGGCATTTCTAAGTTCTGTTCCACTAGGAGTCCTGTGACTTCAGCAAAAGATGTCCACCTCTCAACTAGCCCATTACCTGACTATCAGTGTTTCTGCTCTGCTGGAGAGGAAGGAGGTGGTTTCACACCATGGAAAGAGGAGATTGAGTCAAAGAATATTGTTGGATGAAACAGTGTGAAACCTTGTCTGAGGCAGGCTGTGTACAGCCTTATTTTTTAGGGGGGTTTGGATTTTTATGTTTTACTCCTACCACAGCTCTCAGTTGGAAATTATTATGATGACATTTTCTCGTCCTTGAAGCGAAATTGAGTTACCAAGAAGTAATAGATGAGGAGTTATGAAACCCAGAAACTTGTACAGCAGAATTTTTCTAAAGTTTGTAAAACATTTTTACTTTTAATAGGTTCTTATATCTAAGGCAGAAGAGGCAAATAGGATGAGAAAAATATCTGGACTGTAGATAGCAAACCTTTTAAGTACTGGGTGTTCTTAGATTAAAAAATAAAATTATATCCACTGAAAATATTGATTGATGTGGTGAAAACATGGTATTCTTCTCCTGTTCTCACAAATGTAAAAAAAAATGACTTGACTTAAAACTCCAGCTTATTTTGTTGACATATGTAACAAGTTATTTACAAAGGAAAGGAGGCCCCTACTGCCCTATGTTTGTAAGTAGAGTTTTAAGCAACAATTTGTAAATAGTTACCTCTGTCTCTCTTACAAGCAATATTTAATTCATGTTAGAGCATAAAACTGAAGAAGTTAAGTTTACCAGGTGAACTCAGAGGGGAGCACAGATATTATCAAAATGTATCAGGTATATTCTTTGTGAAAGGTTTTCTAAACAGTTTGCTGCAAAGGTTAGCAACAACAGAACACAGACCTTCTGTTCCTCCCACAGAGCTAAGTCAGAACAAAATTAAAGCCCATATCTAGGATTTGCAACACCTGTGACAAGGCTGGTTTGGGTGAGAAATAAACACTCGTTCACTCTCTGAGAGCTGTCATTTGAAATAATTTAACAACAACAGTACATCAGAGTGTACAATCTAAAATATCAGTCCTTTGGGCCTTCATTCTTTTCTTTTTCCTCCTTTAAAATTACATTCATTTTCAGAATAGAGGAAAACGGGTTTTCCAACATCTCTCATTGAAAGTAAACTTCTTGTTGAAGTAAATAATTAACAAAATAGGCAGGCATTTAAGATGCATTTTCTGTATTGTCATATTGTTCTTAACAGTCCAGATTTTTCAAAGAGTACGCCAACTTTGATGCTCAATTGACAGAGTTTTTTTGATATCTAGTTTTTTCCTCAAGAGAGGTAAAACCATCACAGTGTTAGTGAAGAAACTGGGTTTGTGTTTGCTTTTAGTCTATACACCTGGATTATTTTTTATTTTTAAAAAAGGTATT